GTCGGCTCGCCGGGTCCCGGCCCCCAGCCATATAAATTTAAACGAAATGGCGATTATTTAAATCGCCGCTTCATTTTCCTATGTCTGGTAGCCTAATCTACATGCCTCTGGCGACAGAGGCATGTAGTCTAGACGTACCCTGAGTTAGGTCCAATAATGGTATCAGCAGAATAAATATGTGGACAAAGCTAGCAACGGGGTTTGTTGCAAGAGAAGGTACCAGGGTTGGTATTAGTGTGGTATGTCCTGTGGTTGTTGGTAAGAATCATCTTGAGGTTAGGTGGTTGTCTATAGGAGACTATGGGTCTGTCTAAACGTCTCAGACACTTCGCCAAAGGATTAATGCCCACAAAACAGATAACTACCTTACCCATTACCAAGATAGCTTCCCCAGTTATCATTACCAAGATAGCTTCCCCAGTTATCACTAATACCATTAGCTCACAGACATCTAACTCTCCCCACCTCTAATATCATTAACTCACAGACACTTACCTTCCTCCCCCCCCCGCCCCCCGGCATCCTCGTTCTGTTCTGAAATGTGATTTGTCCTTTTCATATGTGTTCATTTTTTTAAATTGTATCCTTTGGTATATATGGTTGTGACTATTTTCTTCCACTATTTGATCTGAGGAAGTGGGTCTGGCCCACGAAAGCTCATCATCTAATAAACCATCTTGTTAGTCTTTAAAGTGCTACATAGTCCTGCATAAAGTAATATATAGTACTAAAGGCTAGAATCCCAGGTAGTTTCACTGTTTCTTCTGCTTCTCTTTTTGGAATATTCTCTTAGCTAATGAACTTCAGCAGGCTTTTTAGATCCATCCATATCAACACTAGTGATATTTTTGCTTGGTTGGGGGTGGGGAGGAGGAATACAGTGAAATCAGGTAGGCAGGCAGGAATACACAGTGCAAATAACATTTCTGGAAATGAATACTGTGTCTTGGAACTTGAAATATTATGTGCAAGTATAGTTGGCCCCATTTCATATTTATTAGCTGACTGTAGTAACGTGTAGTAACCTTCATTAAACCTTAAAAGTATTTAATGAAGAGAATAAGTAAGAGGAAAAATATAAAATACTGATTACATTGCCACAAAGGCCTGTTTAGTACATGATTAGGGAGGGTCACTTTGGAATTTGGGCATTGCTATGACAGTAAAGGGACTGAAACCGTATTTGGTCGGTGGGTATAATCATTTTCCTTGTCCTCAGTATTCAGCCACTTTTGACGCAGACTAGAATCTCGGTGGGATTTATAAAATTTGAAGCAGAGACCAGATATCATCTCTAAAGCAATAAAGAGATGCACAATTTAGAGCATCTTTTGCTGGGATCTAGTGGTTAAAGGGTTAATAAAGAATTGGTAAGTAAAAGTAAATGTATATTTAACTTTGTATCATGTTTCCCCCTAATTTTTTGTCAGCTGTTTAACAGTATGACAGTAATTTGGAAGGGGAAAAGTTTAATTTGATTATCTTTGAAACATACTACAGTAAACTTCCGATAATCCGGCACCTTTAGGACCCATGGGGTGCCGGACTATCAGATATGCCAGACTATCAGAAGGGGGGGCTATGAGGGGTCTGGAGTGGGGTGGGCTGGGTC